GTGGCCGGAGAGGGGTCAGAGGTGGCCGGAGAGGGGCCAGGAGTGGCCGGAGGAGCCTCGGCCGCTGCCCGGCCCAATTTGGGTTTGGCCCCGCCCCCAAAAACCGACTCCACGCCCCCACGGGATGACATCATACCCGCTGAGGATGACATCATACCCTCTGATGACGTCATACCATCCGAGGATGACGTCATGCCCTCCAAGGATGACGTCATACCCTCCGAGGATGACGTCATACCCTCTGAGGGTGACGTCATGCCCTCTGAGGGTGACGTCATGCCCTCTGATGATGACGTCATGCCCTCCGAGGATGACGTCAAGCCCTCAGAGGGCGAAGCCACGCCCCTTTTCGCGTTACTCCTCCCCAAGAAAGTGGCCCCGCCTCTAAGACAGGAGGCCACGCCCCTTAAAACAGACGCCACGCCCCCTCGGGGTGACATCGTCGCCTCAGCGGATGACGTCACACCTTCAGCGGGTGATGTCACACCCTCGGAGGATGACGTCACGCCCTCAGGCGATGACGTCACGCCTTCAGGGGATGAGGCCACACCCCCCGAAGACGAAGCCACGCCCCTCCCCGCCATCCCCCACCCCAGGAACTCGGCCACGCCCCCCAGCAGAGAGACCACGCCCCCCAGGAAGGAAACCACGCCCCTCCAGACGGAAACCACGCCCCTCCGGGATGAAGCCCCGCCCCCCGGAGCCGAAGCCCCGCCCCTCGGCGCCCCCCGGCGCCAGAGCGCCCCCAGGCTCCCGGCCGGGCACAGCGGGGTCAGCAGGTGGAAGTGACCGCGCTCCTCCCACGCCGCCAAAAGGGGGAGGAGCCCCGGGGCCGGCCCCGCCCCCCGCTGGGCGTGGCACTCCCGCAGCCAATGGCAGCGCTGGGCGGGGCCGGAGAGGGGGAGGAGCGAGCGCTTGAGGGCGAAGCGGGAACCGTCGGAGAGGAGGCGGACCTGGGGAGGGGGAGGGGTCAGTGAGGGGGGGAGGGGTCACGGGAAGGTCAAAGGTCACTCAGGGGTCACTCAGGGGTCACTCAGGGGTCACTCAGGGTCACTCAGGGTCACTCAGGGGTCACTCAGGGGTCACTCAGGGGTCACTCAAGGTCACTCAGGGGTCACTCAAGGTCACAGGACAAAGGTCGCCCCCTCCCCCCTCCCACTTGCCCCTCCCCCC